TTGCCGGTGAATATATCCAGTTTCGCTGATCAGGAACATACATGAACATAAGATTTGGTTGGTGGTTTGGAACATTTTTTATTTTTCCATCTATTGGGAATAATCATCCCAACTGACGAACTCATATTTTGTCAGAGGGGTAGGTTAACCACCAACCAGAGATTCATAAGATGTCAGAACATGGGTCAAAGATTCCAAAGATCCATGTTCTAACCGTGCTTGGTTATCCCAATAGTTCGATATTTCTGGGGGTTTCCTAGTCGTCATGTACCCCAGACCTCATCCAGTCGTCATGGACCGTAACTGGTACAGTCGGGCCATAACTGTTCGTAACATTCCATTGGATTATGTGTTAATGAGTAATTACTATATTATATACCATGTACAACACTTTGAAATGAAACAGGAACTACATAATCATATATAGAACCAATCACACATAAATTTGGCGTTTTGGGGTCTATATGATCCCGTCCCTTGAAAGACATTACCCACATTCACCCACAGCCCATTTTATAGGCGTCCCCACTTCGTAAACTGGTGATTTACCATGGTTAATCATGCTTGTCACACTATGTAAATGGAAATTACCGTATAATATACCTTTATTCCCAAAGTGCTTTCCAATCACTGTGTAGGATGACCTTCTAAGTCTCTAAGTGCACTGAGTCACTGATGAAACTTCGTTAAATTAGCTTATGATTCGCTTGTGGTATGGCCGTGTGATGAATATATCTATATAGCTAGATGCTAAACAAGAATCAACCACGATCTACTACATAGATATTTATTTTGCATGTTGAGAAACAGTGGGAAATATCACCCTTTCTTTAGTAAGAAAAACAACGTCTGAGGCAATATGTGGTGCAGTACATCAATCAAAGTCAGGCAGGATTCTTCATGCATCTCGCCGATTTTTTTGCCATTGCCGAGGGTGGTTTGATCTAATCCTGTTGGTGTGGAACATGTTTGTTTATGTTTGTTTATTGTTTTCAACACATGGATCTAGTGGGTATAATTTTTAATGGCCTTTAAGTTTTGATAATTTGTTTGTAATGGTTAATAAGGTTAAGAACTGATACCAATGGACAATGATGGGATACTGTACCTAATGTGATATATTTCATGGGATACCCTCCGGCATTCAAACATGGGTGGCTTGGAGACCTTCGCACAAAATGGGCATTTCAAAGGTATGATCGTGAGAGGCTATCGGATAGTCATTGGATATACACATGCGTAGGTACAACAACTTGTACTGTGGTAAACCGAATGCCATAAACTATCCCCAAGTTTGAGGGTTATGAAATTGGTTATAACCCTAAATCTGACTGGCTGCGATTTTGGAACGGGATCAACCTATCGTATTTAATGCTAACCGTTCGACCCTCCATTTTGTACACCTGTTACAGCGGTGTTTAGACATATTATATACCATTTTGTTCGGGTATTTGGAGGGTCAAGGTATGTATAAATAATGAATATAATATATACATATATATATATATGGCAGACCAACCAATTCGTCTCCTTAGTCGCAGCTGGGCCCCAGATAATAGATCGAAACATCAAAAGACATCAAAACATAAAACATATTACCATCTGGTTATTTAACATAGCCATGGAAAATCACCATTTTTCATAGGTAAACCTCTATAAATGGGCCATTTTCCATGGCTATGTCAATTAACCAGAGGGTATATTACTCGTTTCTACTTAACAACTGCACGGGGTATCGTGGGATGTATATGTTCGCAAGTTCCCCTTAAGAGGTGTGTCGGATGAATTGCTCAACCAAAATTCAACAGAGACACATCAATCCTGTGTCCGGCACTGAAAAATCACAAACTTTTCCCACCTTGATGAACTACATTAATTACATGATCCGCCTCGGCAGAAACCTGTGTTTCATGGCCATAAAAAAAAGGGTACCCTCTGATAATCAAACACGGCAATGGAACATCCATCATTTAAGTCATGAAAAAAACATGGTTTCCCATGAAGAAATCCATTTTTTCGGGAGTTTCCAGCTCGTCATGCTTGATTACTGAAGGGCATCCTCTGTTTTAACAATCCGATAGACAGAGCATGACCCCCTGGCCCTGATTCAGACGTTCTTTTGAAGCCCATCATTTATAGTAGATCAACTCATCCCCGTTCCTATGAAACACCCATTCAATCCTTCAATGGTCCCAAATATGGTTTCATCCCCTACTACACCATGGTTTCTGGTTGTATTTAATATATTTTGATATTAGGGGGAAGGGATTGTTCAACTCATCCTCATCTCAACTACAGTTCGGCATTTTTCTTCATCACCCATTTTTCATTCCGCCTCCTCAGCGAGATCAGTGAGAGTTTACCCAGGAAAGGAGTGCGGATCACCGGTTTTGAAGTGCAAAAGATGATGTATTACTTCGCGGCTTTGACTTTCACGTGTCTGGATAGCAGCGATCTTTCTGCGTTCCGGATGCAGAATTGGTTTTGCTGGAAAAGATGA